CGCAACCCCTGGACCAGAGGCCGGCAGGTGAGAGCCCTTAAATGGGGACACGTGTAGTCGCACGTCCTGATCAGCACCGAAGGCTCGGACTGCGCGGCGGTGGGCGGGTGGCCGGTCTCGGGTTCATTCCCTTCGCAGCTCTGCTCGGTGCCCACCGTGTGCCAGCCGCCTGCCTGGGGCGGTAAGCCACTGAGAGACACCGTCTGTCCTCCTAGAGCTTACGTTGTGGGGGAGGGAGAGAGCGAACCCGAGAACAGCGGCGCCCCGTGAGGACACGTGCAGTGAGGAGACGGGGGGCGGTGCGGGGGACGGGAGCCTCTATGGAGGGACCACAGGAGTCTGGAGGGAGCTGGTGTGGGGCAGGCAGCCTCGAGGATGCTTCAGCGCCTTCCAGGCAGCGAGATGCAGTGCAAAGGCCCTGGGGCAGGAGTGCTGGGCTGTGAAGGAGCAGCCGGGGGCCAGGTGGAGGTGCTGTTGGAGGACAGTGGAGCCCAGGGGGCCCTGACCCTGCTGGGTTCCCGGCTCCCTCCGTGTCGAGGAGGCCCAGGTGGGTGACTGCAGGCACCTGAGGATGGGGGCAGCCATGTGGTGGAAGATGGATAATCCCTGAGTTTCCAGCCTGAACACAAGGTCAGAGGGAGATTCCATGTCCTGGGCTGTGGGGGTGGGGCAGCAGGCGAGGTGGACTTGGAGTTCAGGTGATGCGTTTGAGGCATCTGTCAAATGCACCTGTAATAAGGGAAGGAAAACACCCTGGCTGGTTTGGTGCAGTGCATACAGCGTAGGCCCATGGACTGAAGGGTCCTGGGTTCAATTCCAGGCATGTACCTTGGTGGCAGGCTCGATCCCCAGCCCTGACTGGGGCCCGTGTGGGAGGCCACCCATCGATGTGTCTCTCTCACATAGATGTTTCTCTCTGCCTCTCCGCCCTTCCACTCTCCAAACATCACCTGGCAAAATGCCCTCAGGTGAGGATCGACAACAACAACAAAGAAAAACAGACAGGTTGCTGTGAAGCGCAGACATTGCTGACCTCTGAGCATGTGGTTCAGGGGTGAGCGTTTGTAAGCTCCCCATCGCAGGCTGGGGGCCTGCAGCCCTCTGGCTGAGCTCCCCGATTCCAGAGAGAAGGGCAGGAAGGGGAACTGGGAGATGCCTTCGGGGCAGCCAGAAAAGCGTGGGGAAGACAGAAGAGCACTCCTCCTGGCAGTGTTTGGGGTGGGCTCCAGGCCCCTCCTGGGCCCTCTGACCTGGTCCAGAGTCACAGCTTCAGGCGTGTGGCTACCATTGCAGAGCCTCTTCCTCCCCACCTGCCTGTCTCAGTGCCAAACACACCTGGCCCTCCTTCTAGGAAGTCCGGGCTGCGGGTGAGGGTGTGCAAACAAGGGAAGCGGGAGTGAAGTGGGAGCGGCTCTGACATTGGGAAGTGATGCCTTGGAGCTGGTCTGGGCCCTCCTAGGCCTGCGTGGCCGGGGTCCAGGGACTTGGGGCATCATTCCTGTCCCTTGAGCAGAGCTCTGTGCTCAGCGGTTTGCCCAGGGCCGACTGCAGGGTTAGGGGGAGATGCGTCTAGAAGCCCAGTGCGCAGCCCCCTTCGCGGGGAGGAGAAAGTCCTCTTGCCCTGACCAGCTCTGGGTGGGCCGGGGCTCTCCCGCTGTGCGGGCAGGAGGGCCGGGCCAGGGTGCTGTCCTTGGGAAGTGGAAGGTGGAGCCGCCTTCTGCGGGAGCCGTGGTGGCTGACTGCGTGTTCTGTGAAAGCGGGGTGCATGCCGGTGTAAGGCGCTGCTTTCTCGGGTGGAAGACAGGCTACGGGAGGGGCGGGCTTACTGAGCGCCTGCGTGTACAGGTGCCCAGCGAGGCAGCCAGTGTGAGGCTCACACTTTCCACCGACGGGATCCCACGCTGGTCCCGCTGTCCCTGCTTTCTCACTTATTGTATCTTAGCGTTTCTCTGCCAGCGTGTCGTATGCAGACTCACCTGCTCACCACCTCGTTCCACCTCCCAACACCCTCACACAGGGCCAGGGTCACCCACGTGAAAAGAAAAGCCCTGTTCCCCAGCCGGCAAGAACCTGTGCTGTCAGGCTGTCCCAAGGGGCGCTAAGGCCACAGGGCGGGATGTACATCCATGAACTGACACCTCAGTGAAAAGCATCGTCTCCATGTAGCAGCTGTACCATCTTGCAGCCTGGTTACGGCTTCTACACTCTAGGGCAGCGATTTCCTTCCTTCCTTTTTTTTTTTTTTTAGAAAAGCAAGAATTTATTGACCACAGCCAAAACATAGGACAGTGAAACAAGGACCAGTGCTCTCCTGGTTGCAAGTCTCCTGGGGTCCCTTAGAGGCTGTCCTATGGGAGAGTTCACATGTACATTTCACATGTCTTTCGTTTATTACAATACAAAACAAATACAAGTTATTCCCATCCCACAACCTGGCACTGAGCCCCCTTTCAAGCTACCAAGCAGCCATCTCTGTCACTACACACTGTGGTGTAAGTCCCATGTCCCAAACATTCACTTGGTTTGTAATTTTCCACATTCATTGTCGGGGGAATGGAATGGCTCCGTGATTTTCCACTGGCTGCGCCGCAAGCACTTGTAAACCAGGCGGCACCTGACTGTTTGTCAGGGCACGGACCTCTTTTCCCTTCGACTGTCCAATAAAACTGTGGCAACAGCCAGCATAGCAATAGCTGTCTGGTGTGAATGAATCAACATGACCCTTATTTTTTGGGTAAAGTTGGTGACAATGTATGCTGTTGGTGACAATGTATGCTGGCGTCCAACCCCAGCAGGTCCAGGGGTCCCCAAAGGTGGACGGAGTCGACGAAGAAGGAATGACACAGAGACAGCGTTCAGTTGATCAGCAGCCTTGCCAGGATCTCTAGCCACAATCTCCAGCCAAGTTCTGTCTAGGATCTCCAGCCAATTCCTGTAGCCAGGTTCTGTCCAGGATCTTTTGCCATGTTCTCTCACTAGGTTCTGTCGCTAGGTTCTGTATCTAGGTTCTGTGTCCTGTTCTCTTGTTACATCTGAATTTATACCAGTTGATTCCAATCCTATCAATCTCTATTCCAAAAGTTAGGGCGTTTCTTATCTCCATTCCAAGGAGTAAAGATTATGTAGCTTAAGCATGATTGTTCATAGTTAAAGTGATTAACTACCCGCCTGGCACTTAGTTAAGAGGTTTTATTCCCTCCCTAACTTCAGGGGAAAATCTCTACCTGGGGAAACAACCTTTCTCAGAGAGGTGACCTTGGTTAAAACACATAGTGCCAAGAA